AGCACCTTCACATTTTATCAGTGGTGTACCCTTAATAGAAAGCTTGTTTATATAGTTTTGTGATATTGTTTGAGGGAACTGTAACGTAAGGTAACTGCATACGAGTGGATGCAACCGTCACTAATGCTAGCGTAGTTCCTCAGGGATTTAAGCTGTTATTACTTTAATCTTGTTGCCATAGCAACAAGTGACAGCTGCCTGAAACCAGGTCTACTGTCAGCGCAGGGAGAGCGCAGCCGGTGTAAGCCGAAGTTTGGCTGACCGGCGGACAGTGCGCACATGTCACCAAAACCTCACAGGCAGGTTTCCAGAATATTAGGCACATTAACAATGCAATAAATAGCCACAAAACCACTATTCAATGCAACTATCTGCAATCAGCACATAAATGTATCTCTAGCCTATACCGACTGTCCCGTCACATCTGATGTCAGATCAAAGGGGATTGGCACCGTTTGGCACGCGTAATGGAAACCGAACCTGATTTGATTAACACAGCCTGCAAATTAATAAGTTCACATCCCTCTCAGCCAACCACAAACAGCCACAGCATCAGATAGGGAGTATATATTCAGCATCTGTAATCTTAGAGAAGTCAAAAGAAAAGAAACAGAGTGAGACTGCGAGAGAGAAAGAGAGAGTGCATGCGTGCGCGCACGAGAGAAACGCAACATTGATTTACAATTGTGGTGACCTCCTTCCAGGCTACCTTTGCATCATCAGCCCGTGGAGGTCTGCTCGCAGTTCCGTATATTCGGACACTGCGAGCAGACCTTGTTTTGTGGTTGTTTTGTGTCTACTTGTGTCTCTTTGAGGTTGTTTTGTGTAGCTTTGTGTTTATTTTATGTAGTCTGCAGTTGTCTTGTGTAGTTTTGTGTTCATTTTGTGGTTGTTTTTTGTCTTTTGTATCTCTTTGTGGGTGGTTTTTGTCTCTGTGGTGGTTTTGTGTCTGGATGTTTTGTGTCCTTTGTGTTTCTTTGTAGTATTTTTTGTATTTGTCTATTTGTGTCACTTTGAGGTTGTCTTGTGTATTTTTGTGTTTGCTTTGCGTCTCTTTGGGACTGTTTTATGTCTTTTGTGTTTCCCTATGGTCTTATTTTATGTTTTGTGTCTCTTTGTAGTTGTTTTGTGTATTTTTGTGTCTCCTTGTGTTTGTTTTGTGTCTCTGCCCTCTACCTAAGCCAACTACCTATCACCTTCTGACTCTGGTTGGTATATTTTAAACTGCAGTCACTCCTGCAGTCTACTGTTCTTTCAATTAAAAAGTAGTGTTCTTGCGTCTATAAATAATGTGCAGATATTAAAACTGCTCTGGATTTCTTCCGTCCATCTGAAATCATTTATAGATGACAAAATAAATGACAACAATGGCAGTCAGCTAAGAGAGGTGAGACATAGGCTACTTTTATTTTGATCATCTTGACCGGAAGTTCTATCTTTTGTGCTGGCGGACTTGACAGTGTTTGGAGCACCCAGCTGAACTGAGTCCAAAATGGCTCCTAAAGAGAGAAAGAGAGAGAGAGAGAGAGAGAGAGAGAGAGAGAGAGAGAGAGAGCCTGGATGTTTAAATACAAAGGCAGGAACGTAATGAAAGAGGGAGAGAGACAGAAACGCATCACCTACTCCTCCAGCAACATAATCATTGTGTAAATTGAGTAATCTGGATATTATGGTCAACACCAGGGAAGCTTGGCTCCCAGAGAGGCATCATGGGTAATAAACACTCTCCTCTCTGTGCTGGGGGAAATCTTAAAAACCAAAAATAAAAGTGTAAGAAATAAATAAAGTCAATGTGTTGAATTAAGCTCATAAAATTTTGCAGTATTTCATTACATTTAATTTCTGAGTATAGACACTGTATGTTGGTCATTGTTGCATTTATATCTATACGACTCCTTTTTTGCCTATTTGTGTGAAACATAGTAGTTCTGCATTTATTTTACCTTTCTTTACCCAGCTTTGTTGTCTCTTGTTTTTAGCTGGAGTCATATTCCATGTGTTCATATCTTTGCGGGGGACAAGTACAACCAGGGGAATTCATGAGATTTAGAATCATTACATCATTAATAGTCCACCACATAAAAATTGTTTAGTCTGTTAAAAGATAGAAAAAAATCTTTCTTCCCCCTGTTGCCCTGCATATCATCCAACTGATCATCTTTCAAGATTTCACCATTCTCAAAGATATTAGCACCCAATGGCCAGAATACATTTTAGCATCTTACAAGACCCAGGTTCAATGGCACAATGGCCAATATGTTGCTTAAAACAGCCAGGTTTGGAGGCTCAATCTCTGCTGAAAACACTGCCAAGAGGTGTTGCTAAAAATGCCCAACTTTGGTGGCCCAATTGCCACTGGAAATGCTGTAGAGTGTTGCTAAAAAATAGTTTGGTGGCTTAGTCACCACTGGAGATTCCTTGACATGATACTAAAACACCCAGGTTTGCTGGCACAATCACCTGACAATGCTGCGATGTGTCGTAAAAAATGCACCCATGT